ATTGTTGTTCTAGAATACGAAAACTACATTTTCATAAATGAGACAAAACGTGTTACTGTGCAGAGATCTGTTGGTGTATAATATTCTTTATAGTATTTGCAACAAGCGCCTATTTTAATGCATTTATCAGTTTTATTTTAATGTACTTTTATTCTTATCAGAGTTAGCATTACAATATCATTTGTAATCACATTATTGACATTAGAGTATCACTTGTAATTAGAAGATTTATGTTAAAGTATCACTAGTAATTAGAGTAGTCATGTATTCAAATGCTCAAATCAATGCACCTTAGTTTGTCTCCAAAAATTTTAAATGGAATATGCAGACATTTAATACTCCCATATCATGGGATTATACTATAACTTTGAAAAAAAATCAAAAGCTAAATTTATTTAGTAATTCACTTTCCAGTACGAAGCTAGTTTCCATAAGAGCCTTTGGAAACTAGCTTCGTAGCCCATAAGAGCCTTTCCTTACATTTTTCAGAATGGGAGGTAATTTATTTTAAATACGTGTTATGTTGCTACTTTCAAGGAAAAACTGACTTCATTAATACTAATAACTGATTCAGTCTGTATGGTTTGAAAGTGAAAAAAACCAATACCCATAAAGTGCTCTATCTATCACGATCTGACAGCATAATTAGGGAAGGACTTATTTCCACCCGATAAATTTTGTCATTAGCAAGTTTTCTACTTCTGCTCAAATGTATTGACTCTTTACACCTTTGTTCCTAAACATACATTTCGTTTCACCTTGAAACTGAAATTTCGTACCATGCATTAGTGCTGATTGGCAGAATACTGTCAAAAACATTTTCAGGAAATTCACTTTTATTCCGAGGTTGAGGTAGATGAATCCTCGTTGTAAAAATGTTACCTTACTTTTCGTCACTTGCGTCACAATATAAAAATCGTTGATTTTGTAACATTCGTAATTAAATAAGAAATTTCAATTGAAATCAATTCTGTAAATAAAATTTAACTGTTCAATTCGGACATAAAAATAGCAGAGAGTTTTAAAATTATCTAATAACATTCGTTTAGCCATTAAAAATAACAATATTAAAAAACTTGCTTATTTCTTTTTAGTCTTTGCTTACTTTGAATTCTAAAACCGTCAAATGGGTAAAAGTAGAATATTAAGTTTTTATGTAATATATTTAGTTATTTATAGAAAAAGGTATCCTCTATTAGCACTTCTTGTAACAGAAAATTAGTCTCTTCGTTTATTCTTGTGAAATTATTTAAATGTTTTGAAATAGCCAGAATTTTGAACGTTAAACTTTCAGAATTCAACTTGAGTCCCTTTAGTTTACTTTGCAAGTAAAAATTCAAATCTTAGTTACATTTGAGAGTATATTAGCTTTAATTATATTATTACTACTTAATGCCTTTCTTGAAAAGAGCTTTTCACCCTCCAAATTTATGTTTATTGACCCTGAAATGTATTTATTTTTAATCATCGTAACTAAAATATAGGATAGAGGGAAAAATATGTCATAATAAAAATTAATTATTTTTTGTTAAATTTAATAATATGAAATCAACTTCACTTTAAATCCAACTACTAAAACCTTTCGTCGGTCTAGAAAGAAACGGTGACTCAACCACAGAAAATATTTTAAAACAGAATGCCGAAAACATATTCGAAAGCAGTTACGACATCAGATACAAAAACAGTGATTTTCAGTCGTATTAGGAAGATTATCGGTAACAGCAACGAGGAATTGTATCTTTGATTACAAATCGAAAGTGATATAAAAATGTTTCCTCCTTCCGAAAAGCTGCATGCATTTATTATACTAGTTTCATGTGTAAAGTAGTTTTGTTTCTATGAATAGCTAATTTTGAAATATTTAAATACTCGATTAAAAAAATTAATTAAATTGTGAATTTTTATAAATATTTTCACGCGAATTTGATTATTATTAGTATTATTATAATTCTTGGTTAAAAATCTAATATGCATGATAGCTAGTAGCTGACATATATGATATCTCATACCTATCCCTTCCACGTAGAATCAATTTATAAGTTATTTCTCCCGCGTTCTTTGCATGCCTTCGTAGTGTAGTGGTCAGCACGCTCGGCGCGTATTCGAGAGGTCCGTGGTTCAAGTCCCGGCGAGGGCATTTCTCATTTTTCAGCTCCTTTTTTAAAAAAATACCTAATACCTCTACAAATTGTTACACTTTGAAAGGTTTTTTTCTACTTTGAGTCTTGTACTTCACACTAACTTAAAGTTTAGTCGTATGAAGAAAATTTAATCATGTAGTTTCCTTCATATGGTTGTTAATTAAATTAGTGTTAAGTACAAGCGTAAATTATTATAAACCCAGATAATTTATAATGGCCGTAATTATTTCAGTTGATGTCTTTTATCATTATAAAATATTTCTCCCGCCTTCTTAGCATGCATTCTTAGTGTAATGGCCAGCACACTCGGCGCGTATTCGAGAGGTCCGAGGCTCGATTCTCGGCGAGGGCATTGTTCATTTTTCATGTCTCCTGCTTTGAAATAAGCTAATGTGCCTACAACATGATCAGGATTTCTAAATTCAGTCACGCCGCAAGCGTAAGTATGAAACATTAAAGAGAGAAATTTTTTAGGAAACCAAATGCTAATTTACATTTGAATTTCAAAAGTTAATAGAACTTAAAGTTGTTGTGCGTAATAAAAAATATTAAATCTTTGAAAAATATGGAGAAGTACTACCACACTGCGGATAGACTGAAATTCGTACTAATAAAGTACAATAATAACTGAATAATAGAGATATAATGTGGTAAAATACTCCCTTAAGGGACTTATTTTTCCCATTCATTTTGTGATTTATTTGAATAGAAGAATCATATAATGGATGACAAAAGTATATTTCTTAAAACTGTCTTTCATCACCTTTGTATCATGGTTGACAAATATCATGTCAACACGATTCTAATTTAAGTGTCGTCTTATTGACATTGTTGAATCATTCTTACAGAATCTTTACTACTTCAGTGGTGAAAATATGCAAGAAAATATTCTCAATACTATGGAACATGTTTATCTCATTGATTTCATAAGCCACTTCAGTTGTTGCATTTTGAGATAAGAATTGCCCCCTACTTGAAAGGAATGTTATTTAACCTGATAATATTTGATGGCACAAAAGCACGGATTTTGTCAAGAAGGTTCAGTTGTTTTGCCTTTGTAAATGGTCATTGAAATACTGCAAATATTTGCCAATGTGTTAATATATTCTCACTTTATTTCACTATAATTCAGTAAAAGAGTAAAACTGTTTAAGATTAGAGAAAGTATTTGGTTTCATTTTAGAAAGAAAGAAAGCCGAGTATTTAGTATCACACTGGCATTAATCTATTTTAAGAAATACTATATTTTAAACTAGATTCGTATACGATTATTTGTTTTAACTATCACAAAACAGAATTAAATCAAACTTATTAAATCAAATTTTGACTTTGAGTATTGAGATCGGAACTTTGAGTTTGCTAATGTTTTAAAGAGCAATATGCAGCTAGGATATGAAAAATTGTTTATGTCTTTTATTTATTGTCCAACTCTCAGCAGTACTTGTAGTAATGATACATGGAGACAGCTCCTGATCTCGGGTAGGAACGGAACAGAATTTTTAGCTATGTCCACGGCATGTAGCGATTAAATGCCAAACCCTAAGTATGGATGAAAGTCTCGGCAGTTCCGAATAGTTATATATCTAAATTTTGAGAATACGAAAGCATACAAATACAATTCCTCGAAATGAAAGAGAATTTCAAATGAACAGAAACAAAATTAACACAATACTTTTAATAGTATATGAGATAGTATGTGTAGTTGTAGATATATATGTGTAGGAGATCTTGCATTGTATTGCAGTGTAGTACGGATTCCTTGCATTGTATTGCAGTATAGCATGGATTCGGAGCTCACCAGAGGTCGAGTGGTTAGTAGTGGCAATTCGGCCTTGGTTGAAATCCAGGCGAATGTGCTGGCTGTATGAGAGTTGTCATTGCTTTCTTCATGTGTAACGCAGATTCCTTGTCAAGTTCCCTTAAAACTTCCTCCACGAAGACATCCCTCCTCTTGACAGATACCCTTATGTGTATCGCCATAATCCAAATAAAAAAGGTGAATTCTAAGTTATTACAAATTTAAATTCGTATTTAAATTGTCCTAAACGTTTCATATGAATTAACTCGAATTTGGTTATTATGAGTACTGGCATAGGAAAATTACTGCATAATGAACGAAATTTCATCAGAATTTTAATATGCAGTTACTCTAATACGGATTTAACTTATAAAGACACAAAGAAAACTATCTATAATAAGAAAAGTTTAGTTGAAATATCATCATTCGCATCATTTCGTTACAATGCCGCTTATTGTAACGAAATTAAAGTATAGAGAAAAGTTTTAATTGATTTGCAGAATTTCGCTCTTTAATTTGCTTGGAGGTTTGCACCTGTGATTCATTTTTCCGTCTTTTGAAATGCATAGTTCTTTTACCAAGTGCTTTAAATTTTTAGCCCTTAATTTGCATATTGTTGATCTGTTCTAAAAATTCTGTTTTTGCTTATTATAAAAGCTGTACTTACATAAAATAATGAGGTCTTCGTTGCCTAGTCTAATAATCGCAGTTTCATTTTAAATATTAACTCTAATAACTTCGTGAATTGAAGGTCTTATTATTATCCTGAATATTGAAACTCCTTATGATCATGACTGAACCTAAAAACATCTAAAAGCTGAGAACATCTAAAAAACATCTACGCTTTCTTCCAATCAAAAATAACATTATTTTTTCTGACCTAATTTTGAATTCTCAAACTTTGCATTTCTTTTAGCTACACGACAATGTTAAATTGTTAAAAACATTTGCAAGTATTTGTAAAATAGTTTATAATTTAAAAATCATTTTATATTTTTAACTACTTTTATATATCTGTCATAAGAGTAGTAAAATCTCGAGAGAAGAATTCTGCTACTTACCACAGTCACAGCATCATTAAGAAGGGATTCTCCAAAAACGATGATATACAGCACTTCATTAACATGAATCTCTTCAAACACAGCCAAAACTGCAACCGGATCCACTGCTGAAACAATTGAGCTGAACAGTAGCATGTCCATGAGAGGTACATCGTATCCAAATATTCCAGTTAATCCTATGGCCCATAATGTAACACCAATACTCAAAGCATTCCACACAGTTCCCACGACAGCGTAGACGAGAATAGATATGATATTGTCAAAAAATAGTCTGTTTGGCATAAAGTAACCAGCATCGAAGACGATGGGTGGCAACATGAAGAGGAAGAAGACGGTGGGTGTCAAGGGACCGACCGTCATACCGCTATGGAACAAGACTAGTCCGATGGCCACACCCACCAGCAGCAACATGCAGCTTTCTGGGCAGTAATTTGCCAGTTTGGGGCTGACATGGAAGGCTGAAATGAAAAGCGAAATCAATAACAGTGTAAAGAAATGAAACGCAATTTTAAGCTCAATAAATACATGAAATGCTTTTTGATGTTTCCAGTAATGTTTATTGATTCCGCTTCGAGTGAGATATTGATTATTCTACTCAATGCATTAGTAGACGAATGTAGCATCAGTGTCATTTTAGCTATATTTCGTAAATAAATTTCTTTCCGTAGTGAAAGTTTTAGATAATTGAATTGGGATAGCGCATCTTAATGATTTAAAGGCAGACTGCGTACTTGTTGCACAGTCTGTTGTTTTGCACAGACAGTCTCGATGCAAAGAGTATGAAATTCGGATATTTTGCTCATGACGTACCATTTCCTGAGTTAAATGGTAAATAAAGTCATACGAAAGCAAATTTTATCTGTAAATATTAAATTTGTTTTAAGTGTTACAAAAGAAAACATGCGCTTAAAATAACTATTGTGAACATTAAATCCCATATCATCCTTCTTGGAAACATTAAAAAAAGAAAAATTGAGAATTTTCAAAGGAAATGTAACGGAAAACAGCTCTAGTTAGCATATTAAGGAGAAAGTTTAAATTTTCTTTTACGGACTAAGCTTTTGCAAATTAGTATTACAGCAACATTTTAAAGGGTGTATTTTGGCGTATTTAATTAATTATGGCAAAGCGCACGAGGGCTATCTGCCTAAGGGGAGGGAGGACTTTCTAAGGGAAACACTAAGGAAAGGGCTCGTATACACGTTACACATGGGGAAAACCACGAAAACGCCCATGCAACATTTTAAAGGGTGAAAAATCGATTCATAAAATTGAGAATAAAATCACTCTTTGGAATCCTCGCTCTGCTAAAATATCAGTTTTACATTGATAATTTATTTTTAATTTAGGTTAATTGCATTAAATGCCGTTAGAACTAAAAAACAGAAAGAAATGTTTTCTTGAGAATTATATGCCCTTATTTGACACTCGAAACAAACCTTTTTACTATTTCCTTCTGTATTGTTTAGTATTAATTAATACAAGGTGTATAAGGGGAAAAAAGATGAAACGCATTTAGGTTCTGTCTGTGACTTCTGCTTTTTTAATATGATGGGCCACCTGCTGAGAAAGCCTTATTATAACAACTGGAAGAAAATATGCATCGAAAGCGAGGTTTTAAAAAAAAGAGAACTAGCTCGACTTGCAGCTCGTGATTTGTGTATTTATCAAGATTTCGAAATAATGTTTCAGTTTCATAAAACTTTTTCAAAGGAATTAAAGTGTACATAGCAATGATAGCACCACGCAAAATCATAATTTCAAAGCAAGCAATTTCGAGATCCTAAAAAACTTTTAATACCAGTTAAATTAAAGTATAAAAACCTCCCTCTTTGTTGCACTACATATATTCATTAGAAATAATTCTAACCTAATTAAATCTCGTAACTTCTTCTAATAGTCCCATCGCTATGCCGAAATTTGAATTCCATCTGAATGCAGTGTAAATGACATTTTGGATTCATTTTTATGCGGAAAATATTACTTCAATTATAAATAAATAAAACTGTAATAGGAGAGGTTTTAGCAATCAACTAAATATATGTAACTATAGTTTTCAGAGTTATTAGACATATTTCGGAGCAAGGAACATGAAAAATTAGCGATGCCTTTGCCGGAGTTTGAACTCCGAGCCTCTCGATATCTAAGCGGACGTGCTTCCTTATATTACTAAAACAAGCAGTATAGAAGCAGAAATTTCTTACATTCTTCCCCACTTAACGGCTGACAGGGAAGGAGGGGATTCGGTGACCAAATCAACTGGTGACGAATTATCGTTCACTGAATTTTAGTTTGGGAGCCTCTGGTAAAGTCGTTAGGTTTGTTGAAGGGTAAAGCACGAAAATTCAGGAAAATTCATGGACTCCAAATTTCCCGATTGTGAAGCAGTGCTACCAGAAATTTTTGAGGTAGAGTAACAGAAGAACTATTGAAAAGTAACAAAAAAATAACATGTGACGTCAAAGATTACGTGATTTTTAGTGACGTCAATTGTACGTGAGCTCACATGATCTCTGACGTCATCACAGATTTATTCTCCGTGCGACTCATAATTCAGTTCTTGACGGTTTTAAGGCATATATTAATTTTAAAGAAAATATTAAAACCATATTGTTGATTTACCATTTTTTTTCATTTAATTCTTGGTTACTTTCGCTTGTTATTTTATTGTTAGTATTTATGTACTAATTCTGAGTTGGTGGTTTATTTTTATAATTCATTGTTTCTTTTATTACATTAATTGTTAATAATTTTCGCTTAAATTTTTGTTCTGATTGTTGAATTTATTTCACTTCATTAGATTCTGATTACGACTAAAACCTACGATTATTAACTGTTGAAGTTGTTTTTGTTGTTATTTAGAAATCTAGTGTTATTTTAATTTTTAAGTTTTACTTTCTATTTCATTATCATACTGTACGCATAAACATGCTTACAACATGAAACATGTATAGATTCCTTAAGTATCATACAAAACGATTATTTCAGGTACTTTAAACAATTCAGATGAAATCCCTTTATAAATGCTGTTTATTTTCTCCTTTCCGCAACTGTAAAATCTCAGATGATGATTTTGATAGCATTCTCTTCTTACAAATTTCATTTAAAAGGCCGATGACTGCACTCGTGTGCAAAATTAAGACAATTTAAAAATTTCGTATATTTTTAAGAAACGTATTGAAACAAAGATATTAATTATGAAGCCGAAGAATTATGCAAATATTCAGAGTCGAAAAACGGAAGCGTACACGTGCGTGCCTATGAAGCTGTGATTGTGGAGGGGATAAAAGCACACGAGATTCGGCGATTTGTGCTGCAAATGCTTCAGAAGTTCTTAGCTACCAAATCATGCCAGAAGATAATTTGATCAGACCATTTGCTGCTCACATGCTTAGCGAACACAACTTCGTAACTTAGGTTTGACTGCCGATGTTTACTTGTTTTCTTAAGGGGACTCATACACCTTAAACTTGTCATGATCTTCGAATATGTGATTGTTGCAAGAATTGGGATATTTTATTTATTTTAAAAGCAATTACTTCCAACTTTTTACAGCTGACTACATAATATAGCTGTTTTGGAACTAGTAACCAGAAAGTTTGTGTTGCGACAAATATTTTTGTAATTCAATCCTCTTTGTGACAAAATATTTCGCCATGTTTCCACCTTGCGCGCATGATATTTTAAAAATGGCTAACGATACGTACTTGAGATTCGATGGAATTCTTTATATGGGCACTATTTTCTAACTGAACCAACAATCTGACGAATATTTTAATATTGAAAAATTTTATGGACGAAAACATTACAAATTTTGTTAATAAAATACATTTTATAAACTCAACTCAAAATAAAATTAAAATTTAACATGGAATTTTTAGAATTTTAGGTTCACAGTAGTTTCCAAATGTTATAAAAGCTATATATTAAATATGGAATTAAATTATGTAACAGAATGTTTTAAACTGTGCGCGCAAGTTGGAAACATGACGAAAAATGTTGTCGCAAAGCGGATTAAATTATAAAAATATTTGTGGCAACACAAACTTTCTGATTACTATTTCAGGAAGCAGCTATATTATGTAGTCAGCTGCAAAACGTTGGTAGTAATTGCTTTTAAAATAAATAAGTTATCCCAATTCTTGCAACAGTTGCCTATTCGAACATCGTATGGGTTTTAAGGTGTATCAGAGTCCTTAAGCAGCGTGACTTCTGCGTCTCTTTCTTATTAAACGTGACTTCTGATTCTCTCGTTGTTTTTAATCTGATTGGCACACATGCAGTATAGGAGGACAGTTGTCTCCCCACTTTTACCTCACTTTTTTATCTTCCTTGTCAAAGTCATGTACCCTAAGAGACTGGGCTACACAAGCAACTTCATAATTTGTATTCGTAATCCGACGACTTATGTGCTCGTACTCATTCACGACATTCGCCATGTTTCTTGCACGAAGTTGGGTAAATTTCATAATGTATCAGGTAAATGAGTACCCATGAACGTATGGATACGAAATGAGATGAAGAGTTTTCGGTAGATCGGAGGCAAGCTAGTCACAAACGCTGGTGGCTGTAAACACCCAGTTTCGCCTAAGATTTGCGGAAACAGTTCCAGAACTCCGAATCCATATAGAGAAGACGTTGCGTCAATTGATAAAAAAATCGAGCGATTTTCGAAAATTCGCCAAACTTTCAGAAATTCAGTTTCGGTCTTCACATAACCTCATTTTTCATTGCAATCCAATCGATGGGGCAAACAATCAAATGCCGATATTTTTAGCTTCTTGTTAAATGGAAATATTGGAAATATGTCCGAATAATCGTTTAAACATTAAATTTAAAAAAATACAAACCGAATGTTTAAAAAAGGTTTCTTTAATCACACTGTATTCCTCCTCAAATAACGCGTATACAAGTTTTGAATACGATAGCTTATCAGGAGTTAGTTAAAACGTGGATGACAAATTTTCGACCACAGTTTTAAATACCATAAGTAAACTAAATAAAACTATCAGGTAGCATGGATGCTTATGTTGTATAGATGTTAACAGTAAAAAAGTAAACATGTTAACAGTAAAGTTGTAATAATTAAACTATTTACACTTCATATATATTTCTATATTACGATTTAACCATTGTTATGGTTCTCAATAGCTGACCTTTGATCAGAATAATAAGGAATATTATTTTTTTTTAAATTTCTTAAAATGATTATATATTTCATATGAAAACTGTTCGTGTAACATATGCATCGTTTGACGTATTTTTACTTATTGTACAAAATTTTTGTTCAGTTTGGTCTTGAACTTTAAATCTCTTTGCCAATAGACGATAGCTCAATTAATTAAGTTATCAAAGACACATTCATTTTAAATATATTCTTTTTGCAGAGGTATAATTATTTTTTCAAAAAATATACTTGACGCTTCAGACATACAGATACGATTTCCACAATAGATAT